GGCTGTAAAAGAAAATCCCTGGCCACACCATGCCTTAATAATTTTGCGATGTGAATAGGTAAGTTTTGTGCAAAACAAGCAGGCCCTGCAACTCAGTCGGACACACCCTAAAACCTCCTGTCCGATCTAAATATAGTATATAAAATCATACATTGCAATGTCCTACCTGCAAATGAATACTTCAGCTTCAATCATAACAATACAAGAGCACACAATAGATTTGTATCTATTTGTAACTCAAGGTTAACCGCACCAAAGTTGACTGCAGAAAATACTACTTCAACAACAGAGTGGTCAATGTTTGGAATACTCTACCTCACTCTGTGGTTTCTTCCCCAAACCCCAAAAACTTTAATCTTAGACTGTATACTATTGACCTCACCCCTTTCCTAAGAGGCCTGTATGGGGGCATGCATAAGCGCACCAACGTGCCTACCGTCCTATTGTTTCTTTTTATTTTTCTTATGTATCTATCTCATGTATTCAAAACTATGTTTATTCTTATACCTGTATCTTGTAAGCGATTGACAAATCAAATAAATAAAATAAAAATAAACAACAACAAAATATTGAATGATGTTGGACTTCCGGTTTGAGCTTCTTCAGCGACAGACCGAAACCTCGTCTCTGCGAGGCTTCAATCCATGCTTGCTGCTGGAGCGCCCTGAGCCGGCTGGTTTCTGGGCTAAGCCACCCCATAGAGGTGATGAAGAGGGGGGAGACTGCCAGCAGGGTTGAGGAGAGCCGCATCTCTCCTCCCCAGCTGGCCATTACTCCCTTTCCTGAAGGCGGTTGCAGCGGTGGTCAGAAATGGCCACCACAAAGAAGAACTCGACCGGAAAAGAATGTGCAGGAGGAAGATAAGAAGAGGAAGTTTTGGTTGACTGGGTCAAACAGCAAAAGCAACAAATAAGGTACCCTGGAATTGAAACTGTTAAAAAACAGTAACATTGTTCCCTAAGAAGATTTTTAAGCTGCGAAGGAGAGAGAAAAGGGAAAAGATTTGGTTTTCTCCTTTTCCTATACTGACAGCTAAGAGACTTAAGCAAGAAATTGGAAAAAAATCCACTTTGACATTAATAGGCATTCAATGCTGAAAATAAAAAGTCAAAGAGATAATAAAGATTTTTGGATAATTAAAAGCTTTTGAAAACAGGAAAGGAGAGAAAAAGAATAAAAGGGCAGGATCTGGAAGGGAAGAGATTGCCTGGAATTAAAAAAGAACTTACAGCAAAATCTCAACAAGACTTCCAAAAGATACATTGTAACTGAAATATTGCAACAAAAACCCCAAGAGAAAGTCGAAAAAGAAATAAGAAGATATAACTCGGGACTATCTGGATTACTTGATAATTTCTGGATTCTTGGTTATTGTTTTGAATGACTAAAATCAATCGGGTGGTTGTTTAAAACTTTTTAAAATGTCTCCACTTTTAGAAGAACTGAAAATGGAACTTAAAAAGTACAAAGAAGATGCACAAGAAGGGAGAGGTTCTTTTGGCTTCGTATTTCAGTTTTTAGAAATGGAGATTTGGAATTATGAGAAACAACAAGAAATGCCTCCAGAGCAAGAAGATTGCGACAAAGAAGAAGCCATCTTTAATGAATAAGTAATCTTAGATGGGGGGGAAAAAGGAAAGGGGAGAAAGAGAATGGAAAGTTTAAGATTGGGAAAAACAACTCCCCCCCACAAATAGAGTGAAAAATAAGTATAAAATCAGAAAGCAACAGAAAAGGGAAATGCAGAAGAGAGAATTAGAACTAAAGAGACAAGGGAGTAAAAAGGGGAGGGAGAAGATGAGAGGGAAGAAAGAAAGGAAAAGAAGCTATAAAGGACAGAAGCAAAATATAGAGAAACAGGGCCTATTTAGAGATAATGGGTGAAAACTTAATGGAAAAAGGGATTCTGCAAAGGTACATAAGATAGTATGGTTATATTAGAAGCAGAAATAATTTTAGAAAATATGAAACAATGTATGATTAAAATGTCTGATAAAATAGCTATTGTAATTCAGTGGAATGCTTGTCAATAAATAAATGTAACAAAAGGTATATTTAATGATTTATAAAACATATGTGAAGAGAAATAAGAGAAAAATTAATTATGGAGATTATATGTATTTTTAAAGAAGTATGATATTTAATTGAAAAGAAGTGTTAAAGATGTTATGGTTTTAATGATTATTAATGATAGAACTGAACTGGAATGGAATGAGGGTTTATAATTACATATATTTACAATCTTTTTTTTTAAAGAATATAGTGTGTATTATAAGAATGTGCCAAGCAGAATTCGATTGGAAGTTATGTATTATGTATTATATTGAAGGTCATAAACTTAAGGTATATATTGAAGTTTAAATAAGAGTTGAATGGATGTAATTAAAAGATACAAAAGGTGTCATACTCCAATTAGTAACTACAGGAGAAAATTTGTTTAATGAGAAAAGATAATATGAAATTGAAACAGAACAGGCAAAAGTATAAATATAATGATTTGAATTGAGATGAGATAATCAAAATAAAATTGAGAAAATTAAAAGAGGGGAAAAAACTATATAGAAAATGTAAAATAGTATAAGATATGGAATAGAATACAAAAAGGAGCATGAAATTGAGTTTTGTGTCTGTATAAAGAAGTTCAACCCGGGACCATGCTATTTTCAAAAAAGATGTTTTACTTGTATTTTGTGTGTGAAAACCCAAATAAAACTTTATTAATATATATACAGAGAGAGATGAACACTATACAGAAGCCTGATGATGGCAGATGAGATTCTGCCGAAACGTTGCTACAACTTTAAAAGCACAACTACAATGACGTGGGAAAATACCCGAACAAAGCTGAATGCCATACATGTAAGTACCCGCGAAAACTTATATATATATATATAAAATTGAAGGATGTCAATGTAAACTGGAATCGGCATAAACCCTGATATATTTCTATATTTCCCCCAAAAAGCAAACACCTTCTACTTGATAGTCCTGGAACTTATCAGCTTGGACTCAGTTCATACTGTTATGTTCTGCTGGATATAAGGAGCACGAATTGTTCCTATATTGTTACTGTAAAGTATTGGATTCAGTATGGCAACAGCAGCTTTTATTAAGCTAGGGAGCCTTTTTCTGTGTAACTGGAAGCTAACTGAATATGGGGCCTTTTGGCCAAAGCAGGGGTGTTAAACTCATGGCCCACAGGTGGATGCATCATGCGCTGGCCATGTCCACCCTCAGTTTAGCAAAGGGGGGGGAAAGTGATATGTCACGTGACGCAGCCGTGGGCTAAAGGGAATCCACTGACATTTGACATCACAATGAGAGTTTGCAACTGCCATAATGGAATACTTCAAATGGCCTGTTTATTTGATTAAAGTGCTGTCTGTTCACAACTTTTTTTTTTCATGACAAGTATACTCACTTCCAAGAAGTATGTCCACAGTGCAATTCTCTAGGCAGCAGCCAGAAGTAGATGGCTTTGAGTCACTTTTTTTGCAATTCCAAATAAACCTTTCAGCAGAGGGTGAAATATCACAGGTCAGAGCAAAATTGGAACAGATCACTCATTGTCTAAGCTAGATGAGCCAAACCGCACTCCTTCTCATAATCCTGAAATGAATCTGAACAACTAAATGATCCTCTGTGAAATATGGAGGAAAGGCCTATTCAAAAGAAACTAAACCCTGCCATCTGGTGGGCACAGAAAGAACCCCATCTTTTAGCACCATGGAGACCGTACTACCCCCCCCCCCCGAAAAAGATCTAGATGATTTACATAATTTTCTTTAATGGGTGTACAAATGTAAATATATTGTGAAATAGAATGATGCCACCTTGCAAGGTAAACTTATGCAAACTGTAAGTTACTGCCTTTTAAAGAATGTTCCTGACCAATAAAGACACCCACAATTATTTATTAATTCTATTTCTGCAACAAGTGCCTTTACCACACATGATGAAGCAACTCATAGGACCCAGTTCCTGTGTCTGCAGAATATTCCCATGCTCCATAGGGGATTATCGATTGATCATGGTTTGTACCACATTTTTCCTCAATTTGTAACCACCTGATGGGTTGAAGCATTTAACCCATGCCATCTGTGGTCCTATCTGTATTCAACTGTTCAATAGAGTGGAGTATTGAAAGATTTTAATTTGGTTGGTGGCCTGCTGATGAGTGCCTCATATAGTATTATGGATAATCAGTCTCCTATAAGTTTATAGGTCACTTTTTATTGTAATAGGACATTGGGTTTCCTCTGATTTACATAGGAAGCCACAGCATGGAGGTTTAAATCTTATCAAGAATTTTTAAAATCAGTTTCTAAACACAGTAGAGCGCTATTTAGGTGTAGTAGTTGTGACACTGGGCTAGAAACGAGGAGACCATAAATTCTAGTCCCACTTTAGGTATAAAGCCAGCTTGGTATCCTTGGGCCACTTACTCTCATGCCTCAGAAGGAGGCAATGGCAAACCATTTTTAAAATCTTTTAAAATCTAGTCAGGAAAACTGCAGGGACGCATCCGGGCACTGCCTGGGAATTAACACTTACCCAAAGGCACGCACAAAAAAAAGACCATCCCACAACTCAGACTTGAACTTCATTTTTTCCTTTCTGATCCTTTACTGTCACCATTATATTCGTTCAATGTCTCTAGCACTTTTGTTTTAACCTAACCCAACAACTCAAAGAGAATGAATGGTCAATGTGTGCCAAGATTAGCAAGATCATTAAAAGTGGTGGTGGTGGCATTACTGGTAGATGTCCAAAGGAAACCAGAGTTAACTTTTACTTAGATCTCCAATGGGCAACCAGTAATGAAAAAAACCATTACTGTGGCTAATGGAAGACAGGGGACTAGTATACTAAGCCGCTAATGCAAGCTGGAGCTTACCAGACTCTAAGAAGCAGTTACTTAATTAAATGATGCCTCTTGGGTCATAGTCAGAAGTAACTGAATTTCTGAACATCAAACAGAGCCACAACTACAGGCATACTCTGGGATATACAAACAATTTTATTGAAATTTAACAAAATTCAACAAATGCACTTCAAGGCAGAGGAAATAGATATTAGACATGTTTGCCTCCAAGTTTCCTTTCTGTGTGCTACAAGAACAGAAAGGGTAGTGCCAGTGGCGTAGAACTGAGTTCAGTTCTACCCCGCCACACGCACAGAAGGACCATTAAAATCAAATAGAGCCTTTTGCTTATTCCAAAAGATAGTGATATCAATATTTTTGTCTATATACCATCATCTGCTTTCACAGTATCAGCATCCTATATAAAGTAGTCTCCCCTAGCCCTCACCCTCATCACAGCTGCCATTTGCACGAGGAACCGAGCTGCTAGAGAAAGCAAGATGGGAGGGATGGCAGAATCCCAGCAGAGCAACTGCACAGCTGGAGACCCAGTGGACAGGCAAGGAGACGGCCTTGGAGAGATGATGAGATGTCAGCTGCCGATATTCTCCTGGGAAATCTACTGCAGCTTAGGGAAAGGTCAAGCGAGGCAGAAATGAGACCTCCTTTGCACAGAGGCTCCATTGAGATGCCAGTCAAAAAGACAGTGAGAGCAATTTGCTGTGCAAGTCACAAGGAAAATGAAAGCCAACATAGCACACTACTTTTCTGATCACAGGGCATTTGCTTGCTCCAAAAATAACCAATGGAAGAACATAAACCAAGTATTTTAGAAATGTAGGTATGAGAAAGACTTGTTACCAACAACCCTTCTGTCTCCCATGAATAAAATCTCTAGATTGGGGAGTCGAATATTCCAGTTTGAGGATCAAATGTAACCCAACACTGAGCAAACTGCTTCTTCTGACCTACTTTTGAGGTAAGCTTCTTAATAAACAATTACCCTTCCCCTCAATTACTCAAGAAGTAGCATCGTTCAGCTCCCTGATGACAACCTAAGATTCATTATGGACCATCGTGCTGAAATGGAGAGTATTCGTTGGCCCAGCAAGTTTGCAAACTCATCTCGATCTGCAGGATGCTCTTGTTTCACTGCAATGAAATTTCCTTCCCTTAATAAAGATCAGAGATGTCCGATTATCATATTCTTCACTTTAAAAGTGAATCAAAATTCAGATTTCACTACATAAAGGGGATGTTGGCTGTTTGTACACTTTCTATCCCCAGGTAATCCCACAACTGGTAAACTCATAACCTGATTTCTGAATGGCAAAGCAGTGGCAACTGAGGAAACCAATGGGAACTATGCTCCAAGTATCAATCCTAATATGTAACGCAGATGTGTAACTAAGGAGGGGAAGGAAGATGAGAGAGTGAATAGGTAGGCCTCTGTCAGCATTATGTATGCAGTCCATGGCCCTTCTACTTAGGCTTTGAATGCTTAAAAAGGACTTCTTTGCATGGGCGGAGATGAAAGGATGCACATTAACTTATTAATATTGTGATGCAACTGTGTACAAGCTAATTATACTGAACATTGAGGTAGCAATGCCTGAAGTGCTCAGAAAGGCAATGACACACTCTGGGAAAGAAATATGATGTGCAATGAACCCACCCACACTCCAGTTTTAAAGCTTAATACCAAGTCTGATGGGTGGGTAAAAAGGCAGGCAGGCAGGCAGGCAAGGATTGTTCGGCTGTACATTGCATATGAAAGCCTCTTCGTAAGAGTGCTTTTAATAGGGATTGCCTGATCCCCTCTCAGCAGCAGGTTAGCTCTACATCGTGAAAGCAAGAAGCCTGGGATGAAGAGGTAGGCATACTGCTTCAGTACTTGCTCAGCTATCAGTACCATAGCAAAACATTCCACATTCATACATCAGGGAGAAGGGTAATGCCCTTCGAAACAGAAAAGATGTCACTCTCATTTGAAGTGTGCTGCATTCTCCACTTATCAGACATTACTTGGTCCAATCCAAGGAGTCTGCCAAAGGAAGATCACAGGATTTTGTTATTATTTGCCGGCAGAGGGAGATGAAGGGGAAAATGCACAGCCAAATTAGATGGCAAAACATCTTGACCAAAGTACAGTTATCTTAGGAGAGACAGTATAACCTAAGAAAGAGATGGAAACCTTTGGCTCTCCAGCAATCCCAGAGAACATGACTGATGGTGGAGGATGCCTGAATCTGCAGTTCAACAACATGGGGAGGACCATATGTGGAGTCCCTCCATGTACAAATGGGAAACCAATATGGGAACAAGTTATTCTACCACAAGAAGGAAGAGTAAAATCTGTTCTTCTGACACGGGGCTTTCGAGAGGTGGTCCTGGACTATGAATCTCATTCAGCTCCAGTTAGCAAAATCACTGGCCCTACAGTCACTGTGCTTTAGCATTTATTGGAAGGCTCTAGGTAAGGGAAGGGTGCCCTCTTGAAAGACAATTGCTTCCTAAGATGTACTCTATTCGGTGCGCTTTAACAGAAAAGCTTCATATCCAGATGCTACTTCATACCTTCAATCTTGCAAAGTTCAGAAAGATGAAACCTGCAAAGAAAACAGTGCAACTCCCAAGGGAAATGTAACAAAGAGAGGAAAAACTACTTGTTGGTCTCTTTCCTATGACCGCTTCAAAAATGATTCTGTTTTGAACAGTTTATTAAGTGCAACTTTGTTCTCCCTGCCTCCACAAAGGTATAGTAGAGTATTAAGTCTTTCGGCCTATGCTTATAAGTTAAGTGGGTGAGTGGACAAAGAAGCATAAGAGGTTTTCTGCTCACCTTTACTCATCTTGAGCTGAAATGTCAGTATCAACTTTTGTAAAAGCTGACTGGGGTAATCACGCGGAATATCTGTTCCCCAAAAAGTGCAAGTTGGCTCTCTAGTGTCAAGACATTTGACATCTGCTGCCACCTAAGCATCAATTAGCAGCTGTTGAAAAGGTTCTAGGTGACTCAGTGAAGGAAATTTTGAGTAGGCTCCTAATCAAGGCCTGACTTCTCATCTGACACAGGTCCCACTAATATACATCCTTAGATAATATTATGCCCGATAGTCAGAAGTGTGCCCAGTGTCACAGTTGCTGTCACTGCCTCCAAGCAGAGAAGCGCCAAAGCCTGCTGTCTGTTCGTTCCCCCAATTCATCCTCTGCAGGGACATGTGGCTGCCTAGCATGGTTTACATGAGGTGCAGTAAAACTGGGCAAATAAGATGTACTGACAGCACACAGTAACTTTCTCTTGGCTCAGACCTCACAGATGATAACAGGGAAGTCCACATGAATCCGAGGGTGCTCCAGTTTCACCACGCCCTGGAACAAAAAAGGGATACAGTGTGAGTGAAATGTCATCAAAATTAACTTTCTAGAAGCGGGTTGCAATGATCTTCCCACCTAAGACAGATTGTGCTAAAAAAGTGTCTTGCTCCTAACCAAACATCTGAAAACATTAGTAAAGCAAGTAGGTTCACACGTGCCATAGCTTTGGACTAAAAAGGACTGAAAAGTAGTAATTTATCTGCAGAAAGACACTGAGGAATAGGACCAGAAAGTAGCAAGACCCTTGAAATTTGCTTTAAACAACTTACTTCTATCACTAGAGGGACCAAACGGTTGTGATCAGATGAGCACACAGGGAAATAGGTTTAATTCTTTCTCATGTGAATTACACTAGTGAAATTCACCCCTGAGCTATTTGACTAATGAATCAGGTTGCAGAGCAAGCAATTAATATTGAGGGTTAGGGAAGATAATGATTATGTGCCATCAAGTCATTTTTTACTCCTGGCAACTACATAAAAGGAAAAGACTATTATGATGGACTAAATAATATTAACGAAGAGGATTAATATCTCCTATCAAGCTAAGTTTGCTTAACCCCAGTTCTCTACAGCTGCGTTTATCATTTTTAACTATTTAATAATCACTATTATCCACATCATTCTGTAATTCAGATGTCTTCCCTGCAAGAAAGATGTCCAGCTTTTTAAAGAAAAAAATTTTTTTTAAAGAAGGTCAGTGCACAATTGAATGAATGTGAATGAACACAGCTAAATAAAAGTGCATTAGAACCTGTCTGCAAAATTCTCCCATAGGAAACATAATATCTTCCAGCGCTGCAAGTTTTATCCTACAGATATAACAAACCACAACACAAAGCAAAAGAACCAATTTGGTGAGCAGATAGTCCCTGAATTATAACCATTTGTTTAGCAATTGTTCAAAGTTACAGCAGCACTGGAAAAAAGTAACTCACAACTGATCCTTGCACTTAAAACTTCTGCAGCACCCCTAAGACTACATGATCAAAGTGGCAACTGACGTGTGTTTACATGGTTCAAGCATCATGTGATCGATTATTGTGACTTTCCCAGCCAGCTTTGCAAGCAACTCAACTACTGCAGAGATTCTCTTAGCAATCAAGGCAAAATCAGTCATAAAACTGGGCATGACTCACCAACCTGACCCCCAAATGCGTAAACTGAAGAGTATCCGTAGTACTTAAATTGCTGGCCTAGGAGACCGAGAGTTCTAGACTTGCCTTAGGAATTAAAGCTACGAGTTTAGGCTAGTCATTCTCTCTCAGCTGAATCCACTTAGCGTGGGTGGGGAGGTTGTTATGGGGAAAATAGGAGCAGGAAGAAGCATTATGTATGTTCACTACCTTGTTATTTATTTAAAAAAAACACAGAATAAAAAAAAATCTTTAAAAAAACTTAGCCATTACTATTTTAATACTATTTTTAAATGGTAAGTTTCCAAACTCCAAAATATCAAAAAGCTTTTCAAAGAACAGAACAGATTTTCTAGATCTTCAGTTTGTATAGAAGCAGAGGTGTCAAACTCGATTTCATTGAGGGCTGTGTTTGGCCTCGGGCGACCAAGGTGGGTGTGGTCAGCTTGACGTCACTCATGTCGGGCCTGCCTGCGATGAGCCGAGCACTCTGCCAACAAAAACGGGCTCCCAATCTCCAGAGCTCCATTTTCA